TTTAACTGGGAAATAGGGGGCCAGGAACACCCAAAATGGCTAATTGAGCATGCTCAGCGGCCGCAGAATAGTGATTGGATTTATTTATTTATTTATTTATTTATTTATTTGCCAGGGATGGGCAACAGAAAACTAGAGAGGGGAATGGAATGTAGTATTCTGGCTGGCTGGAATCAGGCTTCACTCCACACTACAACACTTTGATGCAGATCCACCTTGCTCATGTCTACTATGAAATAAGTCCCCTTGAGTTCTATCAGACTTTCTCCCTGGTAGGTCTGCACAGGCCTGCTGTCTAAATGTTGCTAGTAATGTAATAAAGAAGGCGAAATATATTTTTTTCCACCCTTCAACTTTTCATAACTGTGTCCTTTTGAAGATTTCAGATTTATTTCAGCCTTTCAAGGTCATGGTAACAAGAAAGAACCAGTCCCAGGTGGAAAAGATTGTTAGATTCATTTCCCTTGGCAATGGTTGTTTATAACCCAACACCTAAAGACAAGTGCTAGGCTCACTTGTGGAGGGGTTTTTGATGTCTTTAGAGATCAAAGGCCAAAACCTGCTTCAAAAAAAAAAGCATTGTGAAGTTCAAGCTTGAAAGGGTTATGAACAGGAAAAGCAGAGAACGTTCACAGCTTTGGTCTCTGTCTCCCAGTGAGTAATCAGTAATAGTATCATGCTGCTTTTATGATGCAGTAAAGGGCACTTTAAGGTCTAGTGGAAAGTGCTTTGAATATTTTATTGATTTTTTATTTCTTTTCCACGAATATGAAATTACCACCTTGGAGCACTTGAGCCAATTGCAAGTGGTGTCTGGTCTTAAATATTTATTTCCCTTTGTATCTTTCCAGCCTTACATCACCTTTAAAACCATTTCAAGCAGGCAGCTATTAAAACAGAGCAGGGCAACAGAAGATGAACTATGAAATTTGCAAATGTGCCATGCAGCTAGTGTTGCATTCGGCATTCTATATTTACAAGACTTCCCAGCTTCCTATTTCCACCTAACTTTCTTTTTAAAAAAATGCTGCTGCTGCTACTGTCTCTCTAGCTAATTGCAATTTAAAAAATGGCTGCTGAATTATTTCTTCTCAAACGGACAGCTCTATTGGCAGCTCATAGGACATTTTGCCACAAAAAACTTAAAAGTGTCTTTGATCTTCTCTTGTGCTACAAGTGCCCTGAATGAGAATAGTGGCAAAGACACTGACTGTGAATCCGAAAGTCCCTGGTACAAATTTTTCAGACAGCCATGACCTTCCTAGGTGGCCTTAGGGAAGCTGCTCTTCATCACACTCTGACCCACCTGACAGGCTTGTTGTAAGGACTGCAACTTAATCTGTGCAGAGGCCTTTTGAGTGTGCGCTATAGAATTGCTCAGATCATTTACTCTAATATCAGACTTCTGTAGTTCTGTCATGCTGACCAGTTTGGAAGCAAACCACCCACAAAAAGGCAGGGGTTTCCTGCCTGTACTGTTCCCAGGCTTAGCTGAGCGCTCTCTCCTCGTCTACAGACATAAATGCATCATTTCTGAAGTCTAAAACAAGCTTTCTCAGCCTGATGTCCTCTAGTTGTTGTGGACCACAACTCCCACCAACTCCAACCTTGAAATCCAAAACACCCGGAGGGCATCAGATGGGGAAGAGTACTTTTCAGCCACCCATGGCTTCATAGTTCCCAGTGATGGCACACCTTAGGTAAAGGTACCCCTGACCATTAGGTCCAGTCGTGGCCGACTCTGGGGTTGCAGCGCTCATCTTGCTTTATTGGCCGAGGGAGCCGGCGTACAGCTTCCGGGTCATGTGGCCAGCATGACTAAGCTGCTTCCGGCGAACCAGAGCAGCGCACGGAAACACCGTTTACCTTCCCACCAGAGCGGTACCTATTTATCTACTTGCACTTTGAGGTGCTTTTGAACTGCTAGGTTGGCAGGAGCAGGGACCGAGCAATGGGAGCTCATCCCATCACAGGGATTTGAGCCGCCGACCTTCTGATCGGCAAGCCCTAGGCTCTGTGGTTTAACCCACAGCACCACCCGCATCCCTTGATGACACACCTTCGTCATCCATAATTGGTCCTTTCTCTGTAAGGAAAGACCTACCTACCTGGCAGCAATGATAATCATTTTAAACTGCCTACCATCCTTCGTGACCCCTGTTATATATGGATTCTCTGCTAAGGCAACCAAAATGTGGCTTGCAGAAAGGTTGTTGGCTTCAATGATGATAAAAGTATTAAGGCCACCAAATGCATTTCACTCCAGCAGAGATAACTAGTAAGGGTTCTCTGCTCTATGTGGAAATGCAAAGCAAAGTTGTTAGAAGAGCCTCAGGATGTAGTGTTCAAAATGAGGATGCAATAAGCACTCTTGTGTCCTTCTCAGATACAAGGCCTTCATCGTATTGTAGTTCTGCCTGAGTAGTATAGTAGACAATAGACCACATTATTACTTTTAATAGAGACTGTGTTTAATTGTATTAAACACAATTATATTGTAGTTCTGCCTGAGCAGCACAGACAATGGAATTCATTATTACATTTAACAGAAAATGTATTTAATTTTCTAGTAAGTAATCTCATTGACATTGAAATGGGCTACTGACTTTTTACCCCTCCCCCAAACAAATTATCTTTGGCTGCAATTTATTTTAATTTTATTTTTCAGAATAGAGCTGTCTCTATTCACTTAAGCCCATTTCCTTTTAAAAGAAGACTGGTGGGAGAAATTCACAGGATTTTAAGCTGAGGGGGGAATAGTTTCTCTTATTATATTTCTTAAGACTTAGGCTAGCTGGTAACATATACTGTACACGTATGTATAGAATACAGTTACATGCACATACTGGCAGAATACTTGCAGTCAATGGCTGCTTCCATTCTAGAGCAGTTTAGCTTTGTTGTATGGTTTTTTCAGAATTAATTATTTGATTTAATTTCATTTCTGTGTGTGTGTGTGTGGATAGTGTGTGTGTGTGTGTGTGTGTGTGTGTGTGTGTGTGTGTTGCAGTGGAAATTTTTAGACTACTTAATATCAAATCCCTCTAGCCAGCCAGCCCAGTTGTTTACTTCTTTTTATCTGCAGTAGGGTTTCTGCCAAGATGTTTTCTTATGTGAAATTTTTCCTCTTTTAACCTCATTGCTTTTTATGCCTTTGTTGAACCTACATAGTAACCTTTACAGTTCCCAAATTAATTATTGGTTTGTCACACCATACAAAATTTATTACTCAGACAATGTTAGTTTCAAAATTGATCTTTATTTTAATTGTATTTTTTAAATGCACACCTCAGCATGCAACTTCCTGCCAAGTCTAGTGCACACTCAGAGTCCAGTTTAGGGAAGTTTTTAATGTCTGATGTTTTATTGTGTTTTTAATTCCGTTGGGAGCCGCCCAAGTGGCTGGGAAAACCCAGTCAGATGGGTGGGGTATAAATAAATTATTAGTAGTAGTAGTAGTAGTAGTAGTAGTAGTAGTATTACTATTACTACTACTACCACTATTAGCAAACACCACATGAAGCAGCAAATTACTTGATGTCGTTTCTTTAATATGGGAGAAATTTAGGTGCCATAATGGTATCTTATATATGGTTTTTGCTTTTGTTTTTTGGTAGTACGTGTCACTGAAGTACAAGGCATAACTATGGGTCCATGTGGTTCTATGTGATGCCAGTTTATTTATGGGGAAAGCTGAATACATCATCCTTAAATACCCAACTTGTGAACCACTCAGATGGTGATCATATATTAATGGCATCTTTGCCATCTGATCCAGTGGCAAACAAAGTTTGGGGAAATTCAAGAGCTATATTAGCAACCCTACCTATCCAACAATCAAATCCATACGCAATAGCATTATCAAAAAGATATGCATCTCTTAGTCTTCTCACCTTTGGGCAAAACAAGATGGTCATAGGTCTGCACAGGGAAATTACTGATGCTCACATTTATTAAATTGGGATTTCTACCATCAAAATCTAGAGGTGATCCGAAAGGTATTTGAATAATGTTTGAACTTAAATCAGGGCTTTGAGGGAGAAGGTTTCGTGAAATAGCACTGCCTCTTGTTGCTTGCTGTTATGTGCATGCTAAAAGTCCATGCATGCAATCCCTAGTGATGGAGCAGAGCTTTGTTTTGGTATCTGTAACCCATTTATTTTTATTTTAACAATAATGTATAGAATAACAATAATGTATAGAACCAGTAAGCCAGAGATTGTGGTGCTTTCAAGGAATAATCATGTAGTTCCTACGATAAATACCAACTTTAGAGCTTCTCCCAAACCCAAAGGGGAATATCTTTCCTATGCAGCATTTGTAAAGAATCTGCAATGCATATTTATTTTTGCTCTGCTGGAAATTCCTTGAGGCAAACACCTGTTAAAACAACTGAAACCAGTGCATGATAAAGAGGCCCAGAGCAGGCCTTTTAAGTTTTGAAAACAGCCACTTTGCCCAATGTCCTTGTCCAGGACATTTCTCGGCTCAACGCTAACCTGTTTGTTCTGCTACTGACGCATTTCTGCTGGCGCTGCAATTATATTAGCATAGTTTGTGAAGCGCTTCGAAATCTTTCAGGATGAAAGGCTCTATATAAATGTAAAATATTATTAGATAAGTAAGTTAAACAGTAAACACTTTATTGATTCAATGCCTCACAAAATCTTAGAACAATTACGGCAAATAGGTTTGGATCTGAGCCCCATCGCAGGAATTGAGATCTGGCTGGAGGCTTGTAAACAAAGGATAATGATAAATGGCAGGTTATATGGATATTCAAACAGGCCTGCCACCAAAGAATCTAGATGTGGAAGCAGGACTTTTCAGGCTTGTATCCTGCTGGCCAACGTGAGAGCCAACATTGTCATGGTGGGTAGGGCTGCTGTCGCTTGAAAGGTTGTCTAAAAGAAGCATCTTTGGTAGGTGCAGCATGCCATTAAAAGGTAAGAGAATTTAAACCAGCAAAATGCCTTTTGCTATAAAGTTATTCTGAAGAAGAACCATAGCTCAGTGGTAGAGCATCTGCCTTGCAGGCAGAATGTCCTGGGTTCAATCCCCAGCATCTCCAAGTTGGCCTGGGGGAGACTCATGTCTGAATCCACAGAGAACTGCTAGACTGGTGACTGGGAGTGGCCGCCGAGACCATATAACACCGGTCCTGAAAGATCTACATTGGCTCCCAGTACGTTTCCAAGCACAATTCAAAGTGTTGGTGCTGACCTTTAAAGCCCTATATGGCCTTGGCCCAATATACCTGAAGGAGTGTCTCCACCCCTGTCATTTAACCAGGACACTGAGGTCCAGCTCCAAGAGCCTTCTGGTGGTTCCCTCACTGTGAGAAGTGAAGCTACAGGGAACCAGACAGAGGGCCTTCTTGGTAGTGGTGCCCGCCCTGTGGAACGCCCTCCCATCAGATGTCAAGGAAATAAACAACTATCTGACTTTTAGAAGACATCTGAAGGCAGCCCTCACTCCTTGTAGAGACTAAGAGTGCAATCCTAACCCTTCTTACCTGGGAGTGAGCTACACTGAATTCAGTAGAAGTTACTTCTGAGTAGGGATGGTTAGGATTGCTTGAGAATACCCACAGCTTGAGAATAAAAGCACAGAATTTCTTTGTAAGCATGAGAACTCTTGAGTGTGTAGGTTCATTAGAACCTTAACCTCTTGAAAGCTTCTTGCATCCAGAAAATGATGTAGCAGGAAGTTGGCAATTTGACTTCACCCATGTGTACTGTACAGGTTTTATTTTTTTAGAAACAGTAACAGCACAGACATTTAAAATGAAATGTCAGAGAGTTCTCATGAAACATTTTGTCCACATCCATTTGAGAAAATACAGCCATTGTCTCTTTCATTTCTGGTAAACAAAGGCTAGCCTGGTGAACATCCACTTACATAAAATACTTTGAGTATGGAAATAAATTGGTTGCTTGGGTAGGGGGAGTACAAAATACATTTCAGGGTTCTTCACAGAGGGTCAGAATGATCCCTAGCTGGAGAATTGTTTTGTTTCCTTTGTTCATGTTCAGTTAGGGAAGTTTCGTTGTAAGCAGCATTTTATCATTTTATAAAGAAAAATCTTTTATCAGTTTATGAAGAGAAATAAAATATTTTTTCAGTTTATATAAAATAAAATATTTTATCAGTGTATAAAGAGAAATGAAATATGTTATCAGTTTTTATCAAAGAGAAATGAAATCTCCTTCCTTGGAGGTTTTTAAGTAGAGGTTGGATGGCCATCTGTCATGGATGCTTTAGCTGAGATTCCTGACTTGCAGGGGGTTGGACTAGATGACCCTTGGGGTCCTTTCCAAGTCTACTGCTATATTTCTAGAGAAGTGTATGTATGTGTTATAATTACATTAAATTTTAGTTTGTATTTTCTGAAACATGTATGCGTCATCATGGAAGTCTAGACCAGAATTTTAATTATTAGAAGAAAAGGAACAGAAAACCCCTAACTCCGCCCAGATACAACAGTGTCCAGTACCATCTAGTAAGTAAACTGTATAACGACACTTTCCACACAGAATGAATAACCTTCATGGTGATCAGAAGTAAGGTTCCAATTAGCTTCCTATAGTTGTACCATTCATCTTTTCTGACAATGGTGTAATTTCCAGTGTCTCGTTATATTTCCTACATTTAAAATGCTACTGCCATAGCATTCTGTCTGAGTAGGTGATACCACTTCTTCTACAGTTTTTATTATGCCAACTCAAAATTAAATAAATTCAAAAGATGTGAGTAAAAGGCCTTGGGTCTCCCGAATCTGCAGAAAAACTCACTACTAGATGCTAGGGATAAGAAATATAGTGGTACCTCGGGTTAAGAACTTAATTCGTTCCGGAGGTCTGTTCTTAACCTGAAACTGTTCTTAACCTGAAGCACCACTTCTTAACCTGAAACTGTTCTTAACCTGAAGCTAATGGGGCCTCCCTCTGCCACCGTGCCATGGCGGCGTGATTTCTGTTCTCATCCTGAAGCAAAGTTCTTAACCTGAGGTAATATTTCTGGGTTAGCGGAGTCTGTAACCTGAAGCGTCTGTAACCTGAAGCGTATGTAACCCGAGGTACCACTGTACATCTAAAGAGCATGTATACAGTGTGTGTGTGTGTGTGAGAGAGAGAGAGAGAGAGAGAGAGAGAGACGGAGACAGAGAGAGAGAGAGAGACATGGACAAATCAGGCAGGCAGAAATGGCACCAATCAGGCGGGATAAATGGCACCAATCAGACCTCTCACTTTTCAAAACAGATAAGACCATGTTTTGTTTTTCCAGTAGGAATCCCCAGCACACAAGAGAAGTGATACTTGAGCCCTGAGACTAACTGATTGCATTCTCATAACCGTTGAGCACTTCTGCAACACATTCATGCAATGTCCAAACTATCTTTTTGAGGAAGATGAGTTATCGAAGTCAACATTTTATTATCAGATGAAGTATAAATAGATTCAATTTAAACTGACTACCTAATAGATCAAATCTACATTTAAGCTCTTATGTGGAACGTATGCTTGAAAGGTGCACCAGTCATTTTTCTTCCCACAGGAAGCCTGCTTCGTATTTGACACATCAATCCCCATTCTCATTAATGAGTATTCATCTCCCCAAGGGCATAATCCACTCCTCAGTAAGAGCTGGGGGAACAAAAATAGGTGTACATGCATTCTACTATTTGTATTTGTATTCTGCAAGCTGTACAGAAGTACAAAACAAAGAAAATCCATCAGAGGTGTTAGGAAACAGGAAGATGCTTTATTCAGAGTCAGACCATTGGTCCACCTAGCTTAGTATGGTCTGCTCTGATTGGTTGTGAGCCTCCAGGCTTTGGGGCAAGAGGAGTTTGCACAGCCCTACTTAGAGACAACAGAAACTAAACCTAAGACATTCTGCATGCAAGGCAGATGCTCTGCCACTAAGGTTTGGTCCCTCCCCCAAGGGATACATTCCTCCTAAACAGAAAGTAATTTTCTGCATAGGAAAAACCACCAGAACATACCGTTCTTGGCAACCCTGAAATCACTGGTTGAGAGGATGTCTCTCTCTCTCTGTGTGTGTGTGTGTGTGTGGTGGGTGTGGGTGTGGGTGTGTGTGCATATTTGCCCCACTGGATTCCTTTGGGAGGAAGGACGGAATATACCGTGTTTTTCTGTGTATAAGACTAGGTTTTTTCCTTAAAAAATAATGTCAAAAATTAGGGGACATCTTATACACGGATACATCTCCCCCCATTTGCTTAAATTTGAGTCCCCCAAAATAGGGGGTGTCTTAAAGACGGAAAAATATGGTAAATATAAACAACTAAATATCCAACATGAACTATCCCACTCATACATGGTATTTCATTTGCATGTATAAGTACCCCAGCTTCTGAGCATTGTGTTCACAAAGTGCACCCAAAGCAGCATATTGTTGTGAGCAATCTTCGCACAATGTGATCCGTACAAAGTTTTAGCCATTCTCCGAAGCCCTTCGATGAGAAAAAAAACCATGTTATGAAGAAGGCCACACCCCATTCCTTACTATCGTGTGTCATTCACAGGTTCCTCTGCTTCTGACAAAATCAGTGAGTGCCATCCATCATTGATATAGCCACCAGAGATTAATCAAGAGCACTTGATCTTTACAGTGATCTCTCCATTCGCTTTAGCCTTTGATTAATCCATCAGAATAAGTTGAGCAAATCAGAAGGCGCTTCAGGTCATTCCAAGTTAACTGACTCCAAGTCAGTTGCGTGCAGATGAAACCAGGGAGGCTATTTCTGAGAGTCTCTCCTACCACTTAAAGGGAAAGTTCAAAAACTGTAAATAAAAGTAGACCAGGGGGGAAATGGAGAGGATAATATCACAAACATATAGGGTCTGGTGTATTTTTCCATTTATCTTCTCTTTGATGGAAGAAGGTCTCCGGTAAGTGAAAGATGGGCTGGCTGTAATGAAGCTGTCGCCAACAATGAGAGTCGCTTGCGCATGGCCAACCACTCTAAATTATTGCCGACTGCCTAAGCCCGAGGACTCATCAATCGTTCCAAACACACCTGCTGGGAAAGAAGATGTGGACCAGGGGGCCAAGATATCATTATTCCCTACAAGATCCCTCTGCTGGTTCTTCATCATCTCAGATCTCCTTCTACACAACTTGTCATTGATCAAGCCCTGTTATTTCTTCCCTGTTCAGAGCCAGGGTACATAGAGTAACATCATTATTCTTCCTTGCAACTTACATCTGCCTCTGAATTATTTCTTGCCCTTCTGGGTGAGCGATTGCCCAACATCTAGGTTCTTTCCTTCTGCCTTCTGCCCCAAATTCAGTGGGAGGGGAGAAGAAATATTGCCCTAGACCCATGCTTCCTTGAGTTTTAAATCATTAATTGTCTTTCTTCCAAAGCAGTTGAGTGGCTAGTTCAATCCTAATTATATCCACCTGAACTGATGCCAAGCAATTCTATAATTACCAGCTCCTGCTTGATTTTCCTCTGAGGAAGTATTTCAAACCATTGTTGCAAATAACTGAATTTCTGAAGAAGGGTTATACCTGGATTATTTTATCTGCTACCCTGAAGGATTGCTTGCTCAGTTAATTCACCCTCTTATGTCTTTTGTTCTACGTTAATATGTGCTCTGACTACTTCTAGAAACTGTTAGTTTTGATCTAGAAATAGTTTGTCAAAAATAGATTCCCCCTCCCCACTCTAACTTCCAAAGTGTTGCTTTTAATTCTGTTTGGATTCCATGGATGAACACCACTGATTGACAACAGATGGGTCTGGTGACTCCAGCAGCTTCAACAATGCAGTAAGCCTGGAATAGGAAACATGTAGTGCCCCAGATGTTGTTGGACTCCAGCTTCAAGCCAAAATGGCCAAATGTCAGGGATGGTGGGAGTTGGAGTCCAGCAATATCTGGAGGTCAACAGGTTCCCCAGCCTTGCTGTAGGTATTTCCATGACTACAGCAAAGGTCTAGGGTAGCAGGAATGGGCAATGTTCAGATGTTGGACTACATCTCCCATAATCTCTGGCCATTGGCCATGTGAATATGGATCTAAGGTTGCATTATGTGTG